AACGCCGTTTGTATTATTTTTTGTTTAGTTCTTATTAATTATATTATATCTTTTATTTAAATATTGTTTTCTTATGGTTCGTAGCTCTTCTCTACACTTTTATTATAAAATATTTAGTTTATTATATTTATTAAGTAAATATATACGTTAATATGAATATTGTTTGCTTTTAAATTAACTATAGAAATGGATTGATTTATATAATATTTTGACACACACCGAAGTTAAAAATAACAAAATATTATTTAACTCAAAAGATCAGGTTGCCATTGCTCCTTTGATGTCTAATGAGTTTTCTATAATAAATCATTACCTAAGCTTTAAATAAAATTATTCTTCTCACATTCGACTGTGGTTGGTCAGTTTCTTAGGCTTAAGATAATGACTTTTTGTAAAAATATCCATAACAGAATATATTATATAATATTTTTGTACATTTTTTATATGCGATATTTTTCGAGAATACAGCTCCTAAGATTTCACGGGATTACGATATCCAGAATCGATTGATCTTGTACGTCGAGGTACAAATTCCGTCTGTCTCGCCGCTGGCACATTCCTATCTTATCGGAATTCACTCGCGTCTTAAAATCTTGAGATCAGATCTCTTTATCGCGCGATTAGCGGCTATCGGAGAAATGTGGAGGAGTTTCTCCAAGGGATTTATACATTTCCTTTTTAGGACATTGAAAGTGCCGTAAATTCTTGTCACACGCGTTACGTGTCTTTTACGTTAAGTAGAGTGGTGTAATTTTTGAAAGTAAAATATTTTGACAGTAGCTCTCTTCAAAGTAACTCGTGACTCTTAGAGGCGCACTCTTAGATCTGTTTGTTTTTTTGTTTCAAATAAAAAATTAGGATGACTCAGCGGTAAACTATTAATACGCGCGACGTATTCTTAGATAGAAAGGAAAATAATTGATTTAAACAAGATCGTTGATCTTACATGATGTCATAATTTTGTGATATCTGTATCGCTTTACTATGATTTCGATATATTACGATATCGTATACGATTATGTTTTCGATTCCGATTAGATTAATAGCCAGGGCTATTACGATCGTTGTTATTCTCGATTGATCCGATTCGATCGAGGGTGAACTCGACGCAAATTCTTGGAACTTTCTTTTCACCGTGTTTCCAAGAAGGAACGACTCCTTAAGTGGAAACTGGCTACCTTCGAATGACCATTAAAGAGCTTGCGATTGAACTTTCGCCGACGATCGATCAGATTTCTTCCGAGAGAAATACTGCACGCCATACAACGATCTTAATATATATCGTTGAATTAGATGACTCGTGAAAGAAACGAAGCGTCTCGCAGTCGAAATCATAAACTTTTGAAATTTTCTCCTGAAAAGACGATGTGTCGCGCCGCAAGAATAATTTACGTGGGATATAAATTATTAATTATCATAATTAAATTATTACACATTATTGACTCTCTAAAATCTAATTCTTAAAAGTGAGCCAGTCTCGAAAAAGAATTAATAATTAATTCGCAATCTTAATTTGCAATCTTTAAAAGTTAGAATATTTTGATTAGATCGACAAAATTTTTTAATTAGAAAGCGAGAAAGTTTTTGTAAGTCACACAATGTACAAAATATTTCTCAATGTATTGCGAAGTTATTTCGTTGAAAACATTCGCTCTTTAGTCTTCGCTTGTTCCTATTGTCGAAGGTGAGGTCGTCCATATCGGTGTAACCTGTCCTTAAGTGTGCCAACGAGAATTCTACGCGGTAGTCTTTCAGATAACTGACTTATCATCTCGATTGCAGTGTTAGATAAATATTCAGGTAGCTGGCGAAGTGTTACACTGTCAAGAATACGCTCTTCAGCCTGTATCTCGCGAATAAATACGTGATAAAGATACAAAGACTAATCGTGAATTATCGGGCTGGGGAAAGAAATCGTGATAAAATTGATTTGTCATTGAAAAACATCGTCTGAAAAACGGCATCTCACCGAATCTCTTCGAATCTCGTCGAGAAAGAGTTCTACAACTCTTGTTGACACGTATAACTAATTATAAATAAAAACGTCTGTATCTAGTTCATTGAGGCGTTCTACTATCGAGTTGTAGAACGACTTCTTCGAAGTTTGTAATATTTTATGCCTGTACCATTAGCTATTGGAGATTACTTTGCGTTTACGTCTCTTGACTAATCAGAAAGAATCTGTTGGCCACACTGAATAAAAGATTGGCTG